ATTCCTGAAAACCATACACTAAAGCTGGATGCAATGAGGAAATACTGGCTCTAGGAGTTCTGTTAGAAGGATCTTCTTCATAACTTTCAGGTGCACACACGAGTCTGAGAAACAGTGTCCTTCAGCTTGCTCTGCCCAGTGCTCTCAGAGCCTTGAGGAAGGCAATGCCACAGAAAGCCTTGCGAGAGCAGAGGTCACGAGAGTGCTTGATCACAGCAGAAGCACAATCCACATGAGACTGCAAAAGACTTTTCACAGAATGGAGCAAAGTGTCCTGCCTGGTCCAGCCCATGGTCTGTAAAATGCTCTAGTGACTTCCGACATGAAAAGCACTGTATAAAAGCAAGTCATTATCACTTGTTCTGGGCATGAAGAGAATGACTCCAGTTGGCAAGAACTCCTCAGAGGCTCTTGAAGAGGAAGTGAGCCCACTGCAGTGTTGCTAGACAAACATCTTTCTGGGATTGTTTTTTAGCCCCATTTCATTAAATGCAGAAGCAAACATTGCATTTTCTTTTCCAAGCATTTACAGGTGTTCAGAGCACACCTGCTCTATACCACTCCTTTTTTAGATTGTGGGAGGGTGTATGTAGTGTTTTGCCAGATAGATGACTTTTTAAATAGCAGCATAGTACTGACTGAGCATGTCCAGCGTAACTTCCCTTCATCAGTTAGGTCAAGCTGTGAAATACTGAGCCAGACAGAGACATAGACTTCCACTGGCAACTATCATCTGACAGTTTGTGCTGCTAAAAGGAAAAGTTCTTGTGAATCTTTCTGCTGAAGCTTTCAGGACATCTTAGGCCACATGTCCTATTCATTTATATCCATCATAATGGTTTAATGTGCTATCTGGAGGTAGGAGGAAGATATATGATGTTATCTCTGCCATTTCTTCATCCTTTCTGTGACTGATAAAAATCATGACAAGATTTAAGAAAAATAAATATATATTTATTAGAAAGTCCAAAAGATTACTGACTCTTGAAATGCAGTTTTGATTTTGACCTTGATAGTAAATGCAAAAAGAAGGACACAAAAAGGGTCTTTTCTCCTATTGCCAAAGGAAGAAAAAGAAAACAAATCCAAGAGAGACAAAAGAAAGTAGTATGTGTTTCAGCATTCAGCTGCAACACAAGATTAAAGCTTCTGACTTCACTTAGCTTCACTAAAACTCCTTAAGTGGTGACAGCTGTGTGTAACAGGAACCGGTTAAGCTCCCATCTAGGTTACTGTATTGAGCCCATTCAGGCATTGCCTGCAGTTCTGACCACAGGGAGCACTTGCTGTTGTGTGTTTATCTGCTATACATCTCAACCAGTCCACCCTCCAGCAGCAACTTGCAAAAAGCTTTGGAATCACAATCACGAAGGAGACCAGGTATCGTTGTTGTCATGTCCTTGCTTTCGTTGCTCCATAGCATTCTCGGAGCAACAGTTTAGCTAAATTGCTTCATTTTCCCGTGATAGACGAGTTGACTGTGCCACAGCAAAACTCCCATGCCTAAGAAGGGTAATAAATATGCAAGAGGCTAAGCGTCCACTTAATTACCTTACCCTCCTGCTACCACTGGTGATACTTTGTTCAACTTTGAAGCAAGGAAACTGCCATGTAAATAAGATAAACTAAACCATTCAGCCCAGGAATATGATGTGTTGTTGACTGTTTGAGGTTTGAAGCTGTAAGTTTCACTGGTTCTGATGGCTTTTACTCAAATCTAGCAAATCTACAGCAGCTGGCAGTCAGTTCTTGTAAATTAGGCACTAACGGCAGCACCTCCCATCTTTAAGAGTTTAAGCCAAAAGGTCATATGAAATATCCCAAACCTGTTTTTAATTTTAGCAAAAAAGGTGTTAAGTCATGCACGTTACTCTTTAAACCAAATCTTCCCTTCATTCATTTGAAGAAAAACCTAAATATTAGGCTTATGAGCTGCCAAAGAGCAATGTAGCCCGCACTGAGATTTCCATAAACATGTCCTGACATCATACTGTCCTTGTTGCAACATTATGCCACATGCATTAAATTCCTTTGTGAGGCCTGAATATTCAGAGCACAGATCTGTTGCATTCTAGAGCTGGCAGGCTCCATTCCAATAATTCAGGCATTGAAGCTGGTTGGAAGTAAAATTAAGTGACACCTATTCAAAAGTTTTCATCACTATTTTTCATCACTTTAAGTCTACTTGGATTTACATACTCTTTTGGGGTAATTTTGTCTTTTCCTCTATTAAGCTCACCTACTAAGTAACACATTTTAGCATTAGGCAATACACTTTGGTGTTTTTCAAGCTAAAACATGAATACATGAAAAATGAAGAATTTCAGTTCTGAATTTACTAAGGTAGCATCTCCCCCTGCATTCTTAGATCATGATAGAGTTCTAAGCCTGTTCCATGACCAGAGTGACTATCGTTTAAAGAATGACTTGACTGTGACTGCCTGCAAACAAGATTAGATGTGTGACATTATATATTTTTAACACTGTTATGCCAGAAAATGAGAACTACACAGCAAATAAGACCCAACTATGAGTTTACTCAGAGAAAAGGTCAGAGACTTCTTAGCAGAAACTATAAACACTTTATAACTTTTCTAAAATCTCTAAAAAGATCTCTGAGAACTACCAAAAAAGGTGCAAAGGGCTGATGAGCTTTACTTAATTTTTATATACTAACAATACAATTGCTGCAATTTAATTCATAAGCAAACATCACTATACTGGCTCCAGAGCATTCCTGACAACACCACAGTTTAGTACAACTGATGATCACAGCCCATGCTCATTGGAGTACACAGACAGAAACAAAAGCTCTCTCTGCTAGACAGCAACGTAGGCCGGTGGCTCAGTGCAACAGAGTCTTCCACTAAATCAGCTCAGTGGTGCTTGGACTGTCTGCCCATACAGAACTGGAGCCCCAGCACCACTGAAGTCACTTTAGATGCATCACTGAAGACAATGCATACACCACTGAGGTCCAGATTTAAACTTGTGCCCATACTATAGCACTTTCATAAGATATGCTCATAAAAATACTGAAAAATACTGTGGACGATTAAGGGAGAAAGGTTTTTGTACTCTTCTGTGATTTGTAACTGAATCTTGCACATTTTAACGCATTTTTTTTCTGTTTACTGCAACATTGCATAAAACACAGGTTTTATATGGCATCTATGCTTAACAAAAGGCCAAGTAAAACAAACCAGAAAATATTTTTCTATGACAAATACATACAAAATACGCAACTTGCTACTAATGCAATTATTTCTGCTACAAATTTTCAAAGGGTGTAGGCATATATACTGAGGACCAGGAATAACTAAAATTGTAATGGAAAAAAATTAGAAAAAAAGAAGAGATAAAAGAATGAGGAAAAAGAATGAACTAGAGATGAGAACTGGAAATGCAGTGATGGATGGGAAAGTTAGAAGAAACCATGAGGGAAATTAAAAAAAAAGAATGGTAGGATAAGAAGCAAAGATGACTGGAAATGAAGAGACAGTAAAGGACTGGCTGCCAAAAAAAGAAAAGATCAAAGTAGTATAGAAAGAAGAGATTTAAAGGAGGTAAAAGAGACTTCAGAAAACCCCATAGGCAAGACTTTTGGAAAAGCTTTCATTTGCTCAGATATGCTGCCACTGAACGTGATACAAAAAAATTAGGTCAAGATGGAAGAAAGAAAAACATAGTGAGTTTTTTTCAAAGAACTGTAGTTTAGTGCACCTTTATCTTTATGAATGTATGTAAACATACGCTTATGCATATATTACCTCCTAGCTGGTGAGGAGTTACTTAATGGCACCACAAATTTTTTTGATTAAACCAAACACCGTGAACAAACAAGGTGTAAGTGATCCCTCCCCACCAGTGCCGGTGGCCTGATTAGTCTCCCTTTTCTCAGGTGGTGCTGATGGATCTCTCAAGCTGATTTACCTACCAGCTGTGTAATTCTGCAAAAGCAGCTTTGATCTTCTTCACTGAATTATCCACTTCCTCTTTGATCATCATACGATATCTGGTTAGAGAAACAGTGCAACGCTGCAAGTCTTTTACTGATTTTTCAATGTTCGGCCCTAAAATAGAAAGCAAAAATTGCACAAAATTCAGAAACCTGATTTTGGCTTTTCTGAATAAGGGTGCAGGAATAGTTCAACATGTTATTTGCCCAGATTAGGAAAAAGTGGTTTTCCTACTGAAGTCCATAAATCCAACTTTTCCATAGTCCTTTTGTAGCGTTCTTCAGTTTCTAAACATTTTTGCTTAAATTTATTCCTCAAATCAAATCAATGTTAAAACAGCACTATTAATTCAAATTACCTATTTTAAATTTCATTTAATATAATGTTAAATAGACCATAAATTGTTCTACTCATTTTTGTTTTGCTGAACATGATTCTGCTCTCACTTTCCAACACATCTCTTCTTCACATATGTGCTTTCTTTCTTTCCTAGAGGTCTCAGCTGTCTGATCGCCTCAGCAACCAAGGATCCAATTTACCTCTTTTTTTGACCGAATCATCTGTCTTTGTTTCAAGTTGGGTTGTAGCATTGGATGATTTAACTGAGGAAGACTTTGACTTTGGCCTGCCTAGGTTACACTGGAGTTGAACTGATGACTGAAGAGACTCATGCTGTTCTACTCCATTCATAGTCTTTGGGTTTAATTCCACAGATACTCTCTGGTGTTCTTGTTCTTTGTCTGCAAGAAAACATTATGGTAGAAAACAGGGAATTATAAGATTAAGAAAGATATGAAGCCTTATTGTCGTGTTTGAATAACTTCATGTTTATACACTGGAAAAATGAAGGTGTTTTTTTTCACTGGCACATATTCTGCAGAACCTCAGAAAGCAATGACAGAACAGAAATAAAATGGTTTTGGATATTAAATACTCATCTGAACACATTTATGTTTCAACAGTCTAAAAAGAAAAACCCATGAGGAAAACCAAAAAACTTTTCCATGTTGGTTTGAAAAAATACCTCCTAACATAGAAAATGCACTACCAATTGTAACCTTTGCCCAAATATTAGAGAACAGAACTAGAGAAGTCTGCTATGGAAAGCATGAGACTCTAATGTTAACAGAGAGAAAAATATATATTTCTCACACACACAAAAATGTTCATCATTTAATCAGCATTTTAAAAGCACTGATTAAATATTTCTGCCTGAAATACTCACCTTGCCTGACTACAGATTTCCATCAAAAGCAGCTGCTAAGAGAGACCAAGCAGGAAATGAAACAATGCCCAAGATCAGGCTCCTGGGTTCAACAGCTTCAGAGGGATAAAATAACAACAGGCCTGAGCCTGTTTGACTGCCACAAGATGACCTGGTTTACTCTTCCTAAGACTTCAAAGGGATTCAAGACACCAGCATGATGAAACAAGGAAAAGCAGCCAAAGAATGGCTATGAAAACTGACAGGTAAGGCCAGCTATTACTGCCACTGGGAATTTTAGTTAAGGAAACATGTATAGAAAGTGATTTGTTTCGTTAACTGATTTTTCTAATCTTTGTACTCTGATGAATGAAAGACAGTTTGTTCTGAAGATGCTTTTTATGCACCACTATACTCAAGTGGTGTTCTGTGGTGCCTGGAGAAAAGGTATTTGTCAGATTAACAGCTGGATTATAGCCCATGGAGTGGGATTAACACTGCTGGGACTGAGGGATACCACCTGGACAGCTCCAGGATATCAACTAGTGACTTCTTTGTGCCTGGCTGGGCACTAGGGTGGGTGTAAAGTACATCTAGGTATGTTTCCTTGGCAGTCGCATAATGCCAAAGGAACAAGGAGGATCATTAGTGCCCACATTTCTAAAATGGCTTTTGTTTATGGCATTTAAAAGGTGAGTCTGCAAACAGAAAAAGTATTTTATGTAAAATGGTATGTAAGAAAATAGCTTAAGAAGCTAAAGAAGCCTATGTTATCTGTGGAAGCCAGAAACACCAGGTATGCAGCACTCTGAACATATCAAAGGTTCAGTGTCTCACACACAGCCAGGAACTCTGTTCTGAGATAAACGCCATTAATCTCATGCAACCCTGGCTGCATCTCACATTAGTGCAGACAGCTTTAATTTATAAAGAATGTTCTTTCTACTCTCAGTTGGGGATGGCCTTGCTAAAAAACTCCAATAGATAGCTGATAGAGTGCTAGTTTCTAACTAACACACAGAGAAAGGCCAGGGCTATTGGGTTTTGTCCTCAAGATGAGATCTTTTGAAATTGTTGTTAAAGCGCAAAATCGTTATTTACTGCATTTAATTAGCAGCTTTGGTATACTTGTCAAGACAAATGACAAACTCACAGCTTTTTGCCTAAAGAAAGTAATTTAGAACAACAGTTATGCTCTAAAAACTTTTTAATCATCTTTTGTCTGCAGTATACTGACACTGTTTCTTCCAAAATGACACACGAGCTACTTTGAAACCCAAGTATGCAAGATGACCAACACAGCCCAGCAAACAGTAGCTTAGTATTCTGCAACCAAATTTTCAAATTTGATGAGGACAATGAACACAATTTTAGTATTATGGAAATGCAGAGCTTCCTGGCTTATGACATATTCTATCCAAAGTAAGTGGTAGTCTTTAGCAAAGGTGGGGAGAGTATTTCTGATCCTTTGCAAGGCATCAGCCTTAAGACAAAATTTCTTGACAAGTAGTTTGTCTATTTTGTTGCTATATGTTGCAGAGTTTTGATTTAATTGACCAGAGGTTGGCACCACCACCATCATATGTAAGGGGCAGAGAATTCATTTCAGGACAATTATCCATTTGGCACATTCCTTTAAAATGAGGTTTGAGAGCTGTACTTAGAATCATAGAATCATAGAATCGTTAGGGCTGGAAGGGACCTTCAAAGGTCATCTAGTCCAACCCCCCTGCAAGGAACAGGGATATCTCCAACTAGATCAGGTTGCTCAGCGCCTCATCCAACCTGGCCTTGAACGTCTCCAGGGATGGAGCATCCACCACCTCTCTGGGCAACCTGTTCCAGTGTTCTACAACTCTCATGGTAAAAAATTTTTTCCTAATATCCAACCTGAATCTACCTCCCTCTCTTTTAAAACCATTCCCCCTTGTCCTATCACAACTGGCCCTCCTGAACAGCCTCTCCCCATCTTTCTTGTAGGCCCCCTTGAGGTACTGGAAGACCGCTATAAGGTCACCCCGGAGCCTCCTCTTCTCCAGGCTGAACAGCCCCAACTCTTTCAGCCTGTCCTCATAGGAAAGGTGCTCCAGCCCTCTTATCATCTTCGTGGCCCTCCTCTGGACCCTCTCCAACTGGTCCATGTCCTTCTTATGTTGGGGACTCCAGAACTGGACGCAATACTCCAAGTGAGGTCTCACAACGGCAGAGTAGAGGGGGAGAATCACCTC